ATGAAGCACAAGTGAAGCGAGGCGTTCTTTCTCTCAAGTATCCTATCGAACATGGCATCGTAACAAACTGGGATGACATGGAGAAGATTTGGCATCACACTTTCTACAACGAGCTTCGTGTGAATCCTGAACAATATAATATTCTTCTCACAGAGGCACCAATGAATCCAAAAGCAAATCGTGAAAAAATGACACAAATTATGTTTGAAACTTTCAACGTGCCCGCGATGTATGTAAGCATTCAAGCTGTTCTCTCGCTATATTCGTCTGGTCGTACAACTGGTATTGTCCTTGATGCAGGTGATGGTGTGACTCATACAGTTCCCATTTATGAGGGATACTCATTGCCCCATGCAATTCGTCGAGTGGATATGGCGGGGCGTGACCTTACAGAATATCTGATGAAGTTGTTAACAGAAATCGGTATGACTTTTATGACAACTGCTGAAAAGGAAATTGTACGAAATGTCAAGGAGCAGCTCTGTTATGTTGCATTAGATTTTGAAGAGGAGATGACAAGCAGTGCGAAATCAGCGAATTTGGAACCGTATGAGCTACCTGACGGATCGATGATTCATATAGGCAATCAGCGCTTCCGTTGCCCTGAATGTTTGTTTAAACCATCCTTGATTGGACTTGATGAAGTTCCAGGCTTCCCTGAAATGATCTATCAATCTATAAACAAGTGTGATATTGATGTGCGACGTGATTTATATGGTAATATTGTTCTTTCTGGTGGATCTACGATGTTCAGAAATCTACCGGAGCGATTGAGTAAAGAGGTGACAAATCTTTCACAATCGTCAATTAAACTAAAGGTTGTGGCACCACCGGAGCGAAAATACAGCGTATGGATTGGTGGATCAATTCTGTCATCCTTGAGCACATTCCAGCCTATGTGGATCACAAAGGCAGACTACGATGAAGTGGGACCATCTATTGTACATAACAAATGCTTTTAGCGTTTGCTTATTTATGTGTTGATGTATTTATATTTTGCTTTGTGGTAGTTCATTTATTTATGCTTTATTTATCTGTTGATTTTTTTTTACTATTTTAAACCATTTCAATGAATTTGTATTCCTTTTTTTAGCAATTAAAACACACCTTAGCGGTGAAATGATTATTTCTTTGAGTATACCATACGCTAAAATTGATTCCTCTTCTGTTTTATGAATGGTTTTTCAAACAAACCTTTTAACTTTTAATTACGGTTTGACTTTATGCAAAAGAATAAAGATCATTCATTTTCCTTTTTTTAAAGTAGTAGTATATCACTGCAAGGAGAGATTCATTATTGATATTTTAATAGGTATTAAGAAAATGTTATCGTTTAGTTTCGATATACATACATGCATGTCGATATATATATATATGTGTGTGTGTGTGTGTGTGTGTGTGTGTGTGTGTGTGTGTGTGTGTGTGTGTGTGTGTAGTAA